AACACATAGTATAAACACCCTGCCATCATAATCATAAACACATAGTATAAACACCCTGCCATCATAATCATAAACACATAGTATAAACACCCTGCCATCATAATCATAAACACATAGTATAAACACCCTGCCATCATAATCATAAACACATAGTATAAACACCCTGCCATCATAATCATAAACACATAGTATAAACACCCCGCCATCATAATCATAAACACATAGTATAAACACCCTGCCATCATAAAAACAGTTTTTCTTTACTGAATGCCTTTTTTTGTCGAGCTTGCGACTTTTGTCGCAAAAGGGAGACATAGCGATCCTACATTCTGTTGGCAGTGGCTTCCACAAATATTCACTTTGTGGTTAAAGTTTTTGAAATTTTAATAACTTTCTTAAACTATCCTGGATTTCTACCAAACTTGGACAGAAGCTTGTTTATGATCAAAAGCTAAGTATCTAGAAGGAAATTTTGTTAAAAAAAATTTCCTGTTTTTCAGTATATTACTTATAAATGGACTTAGTTTTTCTTCCAGTTAACATTACGTAGAGTCTGCAGTTAAAGTTTTTAAAACATTTATTAGATTCATAAACCATCCTGGATTCTTACCAAACTTGAACAGAAGCTTCTTACATTCAAAAGATAGTATCTAGAGGAAAGTTTTTAATAATTATTTCCCAATTTTTGTTGAGGCTGCGACTAACAGCAAAAGTAGGCGAGACACTGGGTTCCGTGGAACCCTTACAAATTTTTTTATATTTAAATGTGGACTAAAGGCCTGGCAGCATTGAAATATCTTTTAGAAGTTGGCTGACCAAAATGACCATTGGTTATTTGTGTGGTTTATTTCCTTTCCTATTTTTGTTAAGTCCGCATTCCCTTTTTTCATGATTTGAATTTGGAAATAAAGTGATGAAGCTTCTTAGAAACTTTTGTTTTTAAAATTTCAGTGTTGTATCATTAAAATAAACTTTTGGTTTTAAAATGTAAAGTTGAACTATCAGTTTATTTTTATCTTATAAATAAGTACTTAGATTTAATTAATAACTTAAAATGAACTTTCCTATTGATTTTCTCTGCTTTTTATAACCTCAACTTAAATGAACCTGAATGTTTACATAGACAAAAACTAAGCTATATTCATGAAGTCATTTATTCAGAAAATGATTTCATTCAATTTTGTATGTTACACTCAAACTATAAATGAGCAACACAAACGGCAAAGAATACAGGCTTTTGATGAGGTCTCTATTGATTGTGCTTTGAGAGCAGGATGGCAGCGATGTTCTTATCAAAATTCTAGTGATGAGTTTGTTCAATGAAATCATATCAATTCATGGCTATAGATTATTACAGAAAATGACAAGCCTTTCATTTATAGATCATGTGTGATGTTTATGTGAGACGAATGCTGTGTTTCATTTGTACTTTCTTTGTTATGTGAAGCCAACATTGTAGATCTATATTGATGTGTGAATTTTCAATTAAATAACTCAGAGATTTCTATAATTCACTTGAGATGCTAGCCATATATATATATATATATATATATAGATTTCACAAATCTTTCTTGAATTTTGTTTAACATTGCGGGGAGAATTTTGTATGATGTTTGGACACTTTTGTGTGATAATGAAAGAGTTTGTTTCATATGGGGAGAAATTTGTTTGATAATTTGAGAAATTTGTTTGATATTTCGAGAATTTTGTTTGACATTGGGATTATGAAAGTAAAATAATTTAGAAGACGTATGACAATTGTTATACTGACAGAAATTTTTTCACTTTTAATAGTTGTTCTTTTGATTTTGATGATTTGGAAATCTGATTTGATGGCACTTGAAACCCTATTGGAAAAACTTTAAAAAGTCATTGACCAAAAGGACACAAAATATATATAACATCATTGTGATTTAAACTATTTAATTACAGTACATGTCCTATGAATAACATGTTGTATGCACTGAGTTACAGACAGAATTCTCAGGGTATGGATGTCTGCAGGAAACCTTTCTGAAGATTGATTCCGTCTGCTTTGTCTCTTTGATGATGGATTTTGATTGCTTGCGTTTAAAACAACTATATATGATGACCTAGAAATACATAAATTTCATTGTTAATTGGAATTAAGAATAAGAAAAAGACAATATGGTAGAGGTTGCCTAATTCCTATAATTAAATTTTTAGAAGTTGTCAGTTATACCAACAGCAAATTATAGCATAGTTTTAGTTCAAAAACTAGATTTTGCAACCTTTAAGAGATTTTTAGATCAATATTGTTTTATCCAGAAGTACACAGACAGGCTTTTAATCATACTGTGGATTAATTTGTTTTGGTGGATTGAGGAAAAATTATATTTTTATGTACTTTTGGTTTCATTATTTTGCAAAAGTCTACATACTGTATATATATAGCCTATAGAAAAAATTTCTTGGTTGAATTTTTAAATTCATGGTTTACTGATACCTAAGAAATACACAATAATTGAAATTCCAGGAATAATGATGAATTCACAATAACTCCAGATGGAAGGGATCATTCTTTCTGAAGGAATCATTTAATTTTGAAGGGATCATCATTATTCATTTTCTTAAAAGATCGATCTACATATGTACTTTAGAAATTGGTTTTATATCAAAAATCTGATCATCTGACTTTAACGGGAAACAAAACAGACTTAGCTTTAAAGTAATGATGGTCCTATGATTTATTTTTCTATCCAAATACAGATGATCTTGTCTCTTCAGAATCAGATTTTAAATGGTTAGATGGAATTTCTAAGACAATTTAAATGATTTTGCACAAAGTTCTATCTCTCCAGTGATTAAATTGACACGGAAAAATACCATGGAAATATATCATCATATCGTTGAATATTAGCTTGACATATATTTCTACGATTTATGACAGATTTAGGTGCAATAAAAGAAGTAGTTTTTTCCAGCAGTTTGCATTGATTGTGATTGTGTATTGGTTTATCATAGAGAATACACAAATTTCATGAGATTTTCATACTTCTATACAGAATTTGAGTATCTTCACATCACTCTTCTTCTAATGTAAGAATCTTGAGCATGTTCATCAGTTTGAAAATAACACTGTCTTGACTAGATAGCCATTAATACAATGTGGACTTTTTAAAATCTTTTACAGGAATGATTTTGGAATGTTTTATCAAAATTCCTAGGATTACAACAGTGTGTATTGTAATATGAAACTTTCAATAAATCTTCAAGAATAATTTTTTTAAAGGATTAAAACCTTTTTTTCTTGGCAAACCCTTTTATTATCTTTGTCCTTTTTTTCCCAGTTATCTTCAGATTCGTGAGACATGTGATCAGATAACTTGGATGAGCAAAGCATATTGATATAATAATGGATTTTGCCAACATATTGTTACTGGGAGATACTGTTTGGATAATATTAATTTTTTTTTTGAAATATGATTATTTATATGGATATAGACAATGAAGACAAAAAAAATATAAGTGCAAAAATGTTATAGTGTTTAAATAAATATGAAAATTTTTTAAAAAGTTATTTCGTGACTGTTTCATTAGCGAACATTAGATTAATAACAACCATGATTGTATTTTGTTCATTGTAATGTCATAGATAGACAGTCCTTATATAAATATCAATGAACAATTATCACATACTTCAACAGAATTTTAAAAAATTGAAAAAATAAACTGTATATTATGGTAAATGTAACCGGGGGTGTTGATTATAATGTATAAAAAACATAAATAAATGGATATGTCTATGGTTACTCATGGTATCATACATTTGGGATTGAACATTGCAGTCTCTTTAGATTTGACATCATCTGTTTTTGTGCCTACTCAGCATTTATATAACGTTCTATTACATAATTATGTAATTCTGATTACCTGGATTTAAAGTAAATTTAATATCTCTCTTTACCAGAGAACAAGTTACATTATACAAGACTAAGCTGCTTTTTACTTAGGATTTGCATTCGAGGATTTACATTTGTTTTACCGGGAGAAGAAATAATATTTACTGTACCAGAGAATAGTATGACATCATTGATCATACTAACCTGGATTTAACCAGGGATTTACATTTTAAACAGAGAACAAGTTACGTTTTTACATAATGATTTGATTCTGGCTGTACTTAAATTCTTAGACCTTAGTAATAAGAATAATTGTAAAGTCTTAGGGAGACAATATTGATAACTTTCCTACTTGTTGGACAGAGTGTGTTTAGCTAGCATATATATAAAAAATTGGTCATCATCATTTTTAGGCAATATGATCGTCACTAACCAGGAGCTACGTCATTTTTTAACAAGTCATAATCTTATGCTTATGTGACAAAAAGGTGATAATATATTCAAATTGATATAAGTAGATTGCCCATTACAATATTATATTCACACATCAGTTGTATGACATCAAACCATTCATTAACGTCAGCTAGTTTAGGGATTTTGCTACTTTTTTCCAAATTTGGTAGAACTTCACAAACTCTGATGAGATATGTTTCATGACCAATATAAATATAGACTGACCAATTGAAATTACTGTTGTGAGGCAGTATGAGGATTATAAACTTGGGAGTTATAAGATTACAGATTGAGTTTTACGAATATTTGTGATGTGCAGTTTGGCCTAATGGGACTATTAATCCGATCGAAAGAAACATGCAAAGAATTAATGAATGTCTGTATAGATATATATAGAATGCTGCAACAACATCATATATTCAAATCTGTGGAAGAAAATGGATTTATATATATTATACTTTGATCTTAGAAAGGGAATTTTTATTTCCGGTTTTATTGACACCTTAACACAGATTTTGGAGATATTTCGTAAGATGTCTTGATCTTTGGTTAGACATAATGACATTTCACAAACTTGTGCTATTTTGTTGATTTCATTAAATGGAAATAAAGGAGAAATTGATTTGTAACATTGTCTGCTCATTTGTGTTAATCAGGGGATAAGAAATGTTTAACTTCTTTCAGAATGTACAGGCAGACACTAAACGTTTAAAAGAGCTTGAATCAGTTAATGAAGCATTACAAAACGAGGTTGTCAAATTATCAAAAGCTAAAGAGGAAACAGAGAGACTTGTAAGTATACTTATATACTATAAATTCAGAAATTATTGTGATGTTTTTATTATTGCTTAAATTACGAAAGGATATGTTTCGCCAAAATAAAAAACACAGATTTAGAATTTTGACAGCGCTACTTGTATGCAGCATTTTTGTCCGTTTTGTAACAATCACAATAATTAATTCAAAACACAAAAATTTGTGAATTTACAGTACTTTTCATGAATTATTTATTTATTTTGTTTTCTTAAAAAAAAAAAGATTTTCATATGTACAGATTTTAGGAAAATCTTTGATATTAATTGGCGGAAGGTCTGTAGTAATCATGCTGCTTGTCCGTCCGTCACAAATAGTTTCTGCTCTCTTAAACTTTAAAACCTCTTGGAGTTCAGTGATGAAAATTGGCATGATCATTCTCCACTAACAGTTGGACTGTGTCGCATACAGAGATGAAAACTTTACAGTAAAAGCCATGGTCAAAAACTGAATTTAGATTAGTCATCCGTGTGCTTACTTTAACTACTAGGGGTTTGAAATAAGAGGACTAGAAGACACCATTGTAAATTGCTGGCATGTGATGTAAATTGTTGTGTTTTTTTTTCTAGATTTGCTTGTCAAATGATAAAGTACATGTAGTAATCACTACTGTTCAGATTGATTGATTGATTGATTGTTGGTGTTTAAGGTCAAGGAAAAGTAAAATGGGGCTCGTCACAGATTTTGGTAAAATTTTGCATACAACTTTGGCTCATTGAACTATAACTGAAAATCAGAAAAAATAATGCATTTATCTCTTTATACCCCGCTTTAAAAAAATGGGGGTATACTGTTTTACCTCTGTCTGTCCGTCCATCCGTCCCATGAATATTTTTCGTTGCATCTTTCTCGGGAACTACATCATAATGATTTCTGAAATTTGGTTTTAGGGTTTATATAAATCAGCGAAATACTGTGTGATGCATTTTCAGATTCATCACTCAACAATTACCTGTTTACCGAACACTTACATCATTTTAAAAATGAATAGCCAAGTTGAAAATTTTCGTCACATTTTTCTCAGGAACAACAATACAAGGATTTCTGAAATTTGGTTTTAGGGTTTATATAAGTCAGCTATACTGTGTGATTCATTTTCAGATTCATCACTCAACAACTTATTGTTTATCGAAATATTTGGGCGGGGGTATCATCTGTGAGCAGTAGCTCGCAGTTTCTCTTGTTTATTCTGAAATATAACTGTTTGAATTCTTTCAAAATAGGTGAACATTTGTATAGAAAGCACATAAAATCTGTGAAAAAGGCTTCTTAAATTTGTCTTAAAATCAACAAATCTCCAAATTCAAATTCATAGATTTTTTCTTAATAGAATTGTATGTTGTTGATAATCAATTTCCTTATTAATGATAAAAAATATTCATATGGTCATTGACTTTGTTTTTGGTGTATGATCCAATCTGTTACCTATATAAAAATAAGGAGATGTGGCATTATTGCCAATGAGACAACTATCCAGCAAAGTTCAAATGAAGTGGATATAAGCCATTATAGGCAACTGTACAGCCTTCATCAATGAGAAAATCCCATACCATATAGTTGGCTATAAAAGGCCCTGACATGAAAAATGAGAAACAATTTAATTGAGAAAACTGACAGCTGAATTTATAACAACACAATTTATTTTATTAATATTATACATTGTTGGTACTGAAAAACGTCAGAAATAGACATTTTACGGCTTACAACAAGATGACGTTACACTTATTTTGCTGTTTTGTGGTATTTTTCACCTCGAACACCACTTTCAATGAATGATGTATACCGGAAAAAAAGAAGTTGGTGATCCTACTATTTACTGTCACTTGACTTTAAATGGGCATTAGCTACGAGATATCAAAAAAAAATTAAAATATGATTTTTTTTTGTACCATAATTAATGAAAGTGAAATAGTGAAATAATAATTTGCTTTTAGCAGCCAGTTTGGTTCAATTTTGTCAAAATAAGCTGATGAATTATTCACTTGCAAGTGAATAATTCGACCTCATTAAATTCGTATTCATGTGACAATTTAACTCCTTAGCTAGAGATGGGTTACGCATGAATTAGGCGTGTTCAGTTATTAAAAGGAAAAGAATGTCAACATTTAAAGTGTAACAAGGGTAAAGCATTTGATTGACTAATTCGATCCACAAAAACTCATTCTTATACAGGTAAAAAGGACGATCAACATATATTTTTAACCTATATCATATGAAATCAAACAGACCTTGAAAAATCCAATTACAGGAGTTCGTTATCAATTTATATTCGTTATCAATTTATATTCGGCAGCCTTCATAGGTCACCTCAATGGTTAATTAGATGGTGTCTAGACTAAAATACACACGAAATGCTGATACATATTATCGAGCCCATGCATTGTAAATTGTTAATTTTAGACTTTTTATAATTTAGATATGGGTTTTAGTATGTTATAAATTAAATATGAGAATTTGAGTCAAATTGGTGAACATGAATTTGACAGCTAGTGCCCCTTTAAGTTTTCAGCTTGGAGTGCATAAGAATCAATTACTTCAGTTTGTTACTTTGATTTGTCTATTCTTAATCCATTTACAAGATTTCAACTACTTTCACCTAAATTAATTTTGTGTATGGACTTCTCTACCATTACTCCAGGTGCTGTAAAATCAAAATTTAAAAAAAAAAAGACAGAATTCCACAAATTATCAACAACAGTAATTTAATTCCTAAATGGACTGATTCTGGCATAAAAAAAATGACATTAAAAAGGCTTTCCAGAGCACCCTGATAAACCTCTGATGTGTATGCTTAAATGATATAATAAAAAGATTGGCTGCTCTCACTGATGTGTAATGATAGCTGTTACATATGGTACTAACTTCATAGTTAAAGACTTGGTCAGCCAGGCTTCCAAATTAGATGTAATTGTCAATCTCTTGACATGATTTTGTTGTACATGATGTTGAGAGACTATACAGATGGTACCAACTTTATATCTAGAAACAATGTTAGACAGGTTTCCAAATTGGACATACTAGTCAATTTGTTGACATGATTTTGTTGTACATGATATTGAGAGCTGATACATATAGTACTAACTTTAAAGTTAAAAACAACGTTAGGCAGGCTTCCAAATTAGACTTAATTGAGTCTATAGACATGATTTTGTTGTATGTGATGTTTTGTTAATCTGTACTGTTAACATTATTGACATCTTTTAGTCTGGATGTAGGAGAATATTAAATATTCAGGAGAAAATATCTACTTCACACTTATGTCAGTGTGGTACTACTACTTGGGAAGTATGGTCTTAGTATAATGGTCATCATTATGTCAGAAATGCTTGTTTAGGAGATACTGGGTTTTTTTATGGGATTTTTTCAGTTTTCTTCACTGGGAGAATAGAACAAAGATGCAAGATTAATTATTGTGATTTCAGGAAAACCTGCATACACATATATGTATCAGATATCAGAATGCGAGTTCTTATTATTGTGATACTCACACAGTCACATTATTCGCATTGATAAAAACCTGGCAATAATTTCTGAATTTCCAGTATCAATATGTTATTTGTTATATTAGATGTAACCACAGAATCGGACTGTCACTAACATTATGTCAACACATTTTCTTCAAGGTATGAAATATTACCACTATGATCGTTTTTAATGAAAGCAAAAATAATTTGAATCATTATAACTCAATATGGTGCCTTGTGTGAACTGTCTGGTTCTTGAATTGATGTGTTTATATATGTCTGATGGAGCTTTGAAGGTATAATCTAGCTGTTTAAAGATTAATCGAGTACACAATTTGTCTTGCAAGAAAAATAAATATTGGAATATGAACAAGGACATTCAGGCAGAAAACGTTTAATTGCTTGTTTGCTCCTAATGATTTGTTCCAATAAAAAACAAAATATCTATGGAATTATTGGAAAACTGTCAGTGTTTATGTGTTTTATACGGATTCAGCTTTTATCAAATGGTCATCACGTCACTAGAGGACTAAGTTTTGTAAAGAAAGTCCTGGGGGAGATACAATAAACATGTTGTGGAAGCCAAAAAATTAAATTAAAATTAGAAAATAAAAGATTAAAAGTTGAATGTGACTGGTGGCCAATATTTCATGCCTCAGATATAGTTGAGAATCTCAGATATATAGTGTAAAAAAATCTTTTTTATTTTTATACTTTTTCAACTCTCTTTATCATGCGTCATGGATTTAAGTTTAAAGATTTCATATATAGAAACAATATGATTCCAATTTTGCTGCATTTTTAATTTATCATTGAAAATCAATTTGTGAAGTTGTGATGCTTATTTTCCATAACTTATGTTGTTGATTGGTGTTAGTGTCTGGTTATATTTATTTTCATCTTCTGTTATATTCATGACTTGTTTTTTAATTGTTTACACTAATTTATTCCATTGATTAAAGTAAAACATAGAGGGGTCACCACCAAAAGTGACCTTTTCTTATGGGCAAGTGAAAATAAAACAAGAATGGGGTTATAAAATTAAATTTGGGAGGCAATGGTCACCTGTAATATCCTTTACAATTCATTTACAGTGGATTCAAATATTTTCCTTTATAACGATTTTTGTTGATTGAAGAAAATTTGTATATTCATCGATATATGATTTCATGGTGCTTAAAGCAGGGCTTCCAAAACGGTCATATTTTCTGGACATGACTGATAAATTATAAATATGACTTGTTGTGCCAAACCTGAAACGGACATTTAACGTGAGTTTGCCATTTTAACATATTGAATTCAGAAAAAATTGAAGTTTTTGCGATCTTTTTGACCTGACCTTTTGTCTTAAACAGCCACATTTCCGGTCATACAAGTGACATGGTGAATAAGTACTATCAAAACAAATCCTACTTAAATACCCTTTCATTGTAATCAAGGTTAATTAGTTGTCAGACAGTTGAAATTTACCTGTTCAGGTGACAGGTAAACTAATATGTACCGGACATTGATCAGTCTATTTGAAGTTACTTTCATAAATTTCAGCGGTTGGCATCTAATTAATTTAATCAAAAAGATTTAAATTATCAAAAATATTTATATAAATATGATTTGATGAAAATTTTCAAAGGGTAGTTATAAAGGTTTTAAGCAAAAAATCGCCAGGACCACGTTGTTTGAACAAAGTACACGTGTATGCATGTGCGCAGTTGTGAGATTTAATTATGCATCTGAATTCTTCAAAAATGCTAAAATTATCATTGAAACCCCTTTATCTAACGTTCATTTTTAAGTATTTTCTTGAAGAAATAACGTTGGAAAGAGCTACTTAGACTCCATTGTGCTTTGTTAACGTACACCAATTTTTCGTATCCGACTCTGGTTCGTGTTTTACCATTGTCAAGTCAACATCCGGTATAAGAAAATGTACCTTCAAAAACGAAAGTAAATATTTTGACAACGTAATTTTGCACAAATAAAGATTTTAAGGCATATATTAGTACGCTAATGTTGCACACTTCGAATGATACACTGTCAATTTAACAGTTTACGTCAGTACATCGAATTTGTATCAAAAGTCAAGTTTAATATTGTTTTTATATCAATCATTCATTGTTTAAATGATGCCCAACTGATAAGCAGGATTGCCTTTTGTTACGTTGTCTTAAGGGATCAAAATCGGGATAAGACAAAAAATGTCCGGCTGGCACAAATATTTTTTAGAAGCCCTGGCTTAAAGGCCTTTGGAATATTTGTATTTGGTTGAACATTTAAATTTGTGGTTTACTTATAGCCATGAATTGAGTTAATAATGCAATGTAAATTTGTCTGAATTTAAGATGTTTAGATTTAACTTTTCAACTAAAATGATTAATTACATGTATATTAGAAAGGTTAGATAAAACAAAAAAGGGTTGTCTTCAAATTATATTTTTCTATCCTTATATTTGGTATGAATGTTGTTGAATGGGAAATAACTCTAGTTGTTTATCTAATGCTTTACCTTCAAATCAAATTTGATTATCTCCCATTGTATTAAATTAATGTTTTCCTTCTAACAGGAAATAGAATTTACACAGAAAAAGATTGAATGTGAAAGATTGAACAAAGAAATAGAAAGAGAAAGAGCAAGAAGTAGAAATTTGGTAAGCACCACTATTTTGTAGTTTTGAGAAGTTAACTCAAGTAAAATTGTGTCATTTTGTGGTGAGAAAGATTCATGCAGATCTTTTTATTTAAAATATTTTTTTCCTGTAGCTTATATATTTTTAGGTCAGCAAGTTAATTTAAGTATGTAGCTCATTTGAAATGTTATTTTAGCCTAAAATAAGCTTTAAACCATTAGTTGTATAAATAAAATTGTCAAAAGAAATCTTTGCAAAGTCAGCTTGAAAGTTTCTGAGAACATTAGCTGGTTTACAGCATTTATAAAAGAGACACATTAATAATGTACATCAATGAGATTATAGTTGGAGGAAATATTCAGAAATAAGACAAGATAATTTTTTTAAGAGCCAGATACAAATTAACAATAGGAAAAGCTGAACAAGTTGAATATTTTAAATATCATTTTACAGGAAGCAGATTTGCAAGAGAGTGCTACACAGAATACAGAATTAACGATACAAGTGTCAGATCTCACCCATAGATTGGCTGACTTAGAGAAGGTACGTAAAATGTTTGCAAATCTCAAATTTGATAACTTAGAAAAGTTTGTTACAGGTTTCATATAGAAGTATTGGGAGATTGGTTGACTATAGAAGTGAGGTAGAATGTGTATTGCCTTGTTAGACAATACATCGAATGAACGAACCAACATGCAAAGGAATTGGAACGAAAAAAAATATTACAGTAATTTTGCCATCAACATTATGATACTATAGAATCCAAAATGAATCTGATGTTTTTTTTTTATTAATGCAAAATGTGTTTTATGACAGAAATTTTGATATTTTTGCTTTCAATATTTTGATTGTTGAATGAATTGGACACATATTCAAGTTTGATTATTGCAATTTCAGGAAATGCTGCAACAATAATGCTTTCAAAACTTGAAATGCCACTTTTTATTAGCTCACCTGGCCCGAAGGGCCAAGTGAGCTTTTCTCATCACTTGGCGTCCGTCGTCCCTCGTCCGGCGTCGATGTTAACTTTTTACATTTTGAACTTCTTCTAGAGAACCACTGAATGGAATGAAACCAAACATGGCATGAATGTTCCTTATGAGGTGCTGACCAAGTGTTGTTACTTTGTAGCTGATCCATCATCCAAGATGGCCGCCAGCGGGGGACTTAGTTTAACATAGGACCCTATGGGAAATGCATACAAATGACTTCTTTTAGAGAACCACTGAATGGAATGAAACCAAACATGGCATGAATGTTTCTTATGAGGTGCTGACCAAGTGTTGTTACTTTGTAGCCGATCCATCATCCAAGATGGCCGCCAGCGGGGGACTTAGTTTAACATAGGACCCTATGGGAAATGCATACAAATGACTTCTTTTAGAGAACCACTGAATGGAATGGAACCAAACATGGCATGAATCTTCCTTATGAGGTGCTGACCAAGTGTTGTTACTTTGAAGCCGATCCATTATCCAAGATGGCCGCCAGCGGGGGACTTAGTTTAACATAGGACCCTATGGGAAATACATACAAATGTCTTCTTTAAGAGAATCACTGAATGGAATGAAACCAAACATAGCATGAATGTTCTTTATGAGGTGCTGACCATGTGTTGTTACTTTGTAGCTGATCCATCATCCAAGATGGCTGCCATCGGGAACTTAGTTTAACATAGGACCCTAAGGGAAATACATACAAATGTCTTCTTTTAGAGAACCACTGAATGGAATGAAACCAAACATGGCATGAATGTTCCTAATCAGGTGCTGACCAAGTGTTGTTACTTTGTAGCCGATCCATCATCCAAGATGGCCGCCAGCGGGGGACTTAGTTTAACATAGGACCCTATGGGAAATACATAAAAATGTCTTCTTTTAGAGAACCACTGAATGGAATGGAACCAAACATGGCTTGAATGTTCCTTATGAGATGCTGACCAAGTGTTGTTTCTTTGCAGTCGGTCCATCTTCCAAGATGGCCGCCAGCGGGGGACTTAGTTTAACATAGGACCCTATGGGAAATACATACAAATGTCTTCTTTTAGAGAACCACTGAATGGAATGAAACCAAACATGGCATGAATGTTCCTTATGAGGTGCTGACCAAGTGTTGTTACTTTGCAGTCGGTCCATCATCCAAGATGGCCGACAGCAGGGGACTTAGTTTAACATAGGACCCTACGGGAAATACATACAAATGTCTTCTTTTAGAGAACCACTGAATGGAATGAAACCAAACATGGCATGAATGTTCCTTATGAGGTGCTGACCAAGTGTTGTTACTTTGCAGTCGGTCCATCATCCAAGATGGCCGACAGCAGGGGACTTAGTTTAACAAAGGACCTATGGGAAATACATACAAATGTCTTCTTTTAGAGAACCACTGAATGGAATGAAACCAAACATGGCATGAATCTTCCTTATGAGATGCTGACCAAGTGTTGTTACTTTGTAGCCGATCCATCATCCAAGATGGCCGCCAGCGGGGGACTTAGTTTTACATATGACCCTTTGGGAAATACATAAAAATGTCTTCTTTTAGAGAACCAATAAATGGAATGGAACCAAACATGGCATGAATGTTCCTTATGAGATGTTGACCAAGTGTTGTTATGTTGCAGCCAATCCATCATCCAAGATGGCCGACAGCGGGGGACTTAGTTTAACATAGGACCCTATGGGAAATACATACAATTATCTTCTTTTAGAGAACCACTGAATGGAATGGAACCAAACATGGCATGAATGTTCCTTATGAGTTGCTGACCAAGTGTTGTTAGTTTGCAGTTGATCCATTATCCAAGATGGCCGCTAGGGGGAGGGGCTTAGTTTAACATAGGACCCTATGGGAAATACATACAAATGTCTTCTTTTAGAGTACCACTGAATGGAATGAAACCAAACATGGCATGAATGTTCCTTATGAAGTGCTGACCAAGTGTTGCTACTTTGTTGCCGATTTACTGTTCAAGATGGCCACCAGGATATTTTATTAAATAACGGGACCAATATTAATCAAAATTTGGCCTCAATCATTATTTGGGTATCTGTTATGATTTTTATCTATCTTTACATGATTTCTAAAACCAAAGTAGAGTCAGGTGAGCGACACAGGCTCTTGAGAGGCTCTAGTTTATCATGTGAAAAATCTTGCAATAATAGAAACATGGTAAAATTTTCTGAATATAAGTTTGAGTTATTTCCCTTACCACAAATCAATTATGTAGGTTATGTAAAGACCTGACAGTATGATACTTAATATATGATCAGGTATATGAAAAAGATGGTTCACAATAAAAATATACTTAAAACTGTTTGGTTGTTAAAATCAAACCAACAACATTTCCTTAAAAGACAATCTTTTCTTTGTGTATCTATGGACCTGAGACTTTTGATTACACTTTCAATACTGTTCTATTTGAACCAAACAGACTGCCAAAGAATTCTAAAAAGTTATTTCATTTTGATAAAATTTGCCTTAAAAGACATCTAGTATACTCTTATATTCTGTAAGTACATGTGTTTTTCTCAGCTATAAGATTATCCACAGACTGAACAACCTGTAGAGGGTATAGCACATCTTACACACAGAGTACCCAACTCGTAATAACTAACCAATCAAAAAGAAATCAATTATGTACTTCCGATTTTGAACAGCTTATTAACAGTGCAGCTGCTAGCTTTATAGCACTTGTTTTAGTATTTTGTAAGATTTATTACTCTGAGTTAATGACAATCGGCCAACGTTAACCAGACAAAGTTAGTTATTGAGTAATTTTGTCGAATTGACGAAGCAGTTATCCAATAAGGTGTACAGACAAGTCAGTGATATTTCAGTAGGTTTTAATTACTTCTATGTGTAATTCTCTGAGAATATAATTAAGTAACAAGATAATTGGACAGAACAATACCTCAAGGGGAAGTCACAGATTGATTGGTATGGGTCACAATGAGGACATGTAATTCTATCTGAAAACGTTCTGTTTGAGATGATTTGCTGAAAAATACAACTTGATTTGCCTGCTGCTCTCTATATTTAATCATTATTTTACATGTTGTTTTCAACATGTATTCATAAGCCAGCAGTCTACTTTAGAAAGATCTTTTCATTCTTTTGTAAAGAATATAAAAGAGTAAGAGTCTTATGAACTCATAAGATGGAAGACTGTGAATATATATTGACCACTTATGTAACCAAGTTAACAATGAAAATAAAACAAAAGAAACAGTTAGGGATCCCTTCATAAATAAAACAAAACAAGCAAGAAGTTAGGTATCCCTTCATAAATAAAACAATTCAAACAAGCAGTTAGGGATTCCTTCATAAATAAAACAATTCAAACAAGCAGTTAGGGATCCCTTCATAAATAAAACAATTCAAACAAGCAGTTAAGGATCCCTTCATAGATAAAACTATTCAAACAAGCAGTTAGGGATCCCTTCATAAATAAAATAAACAAAACAAAACAAACACGTAGTAAGGGATCCCTTCATAAATATAACAAAACAAGCAAGCAGTTAGGGATCCCTTCATAAAAAAACAGAACAAACAAGCAGTTAGGGATCCCTCCATAAATAAAACAAAACAAACAAGCAGTTAGGGATCCCTTCATAAATAAAACAAAACAAACAAGCAGTTAGGGATCCCTTCATAAACAAAACAAAACAAACAAGTAGTAAGGGATCCCTTCATAAATATAACAAAACAAGCAAGCAGTTAGGGATCCCTTCATAAATAAAGCAAAACAAACAAGCAGATAGGGATCCCTTCATAAATAAAACAAAACAAACAAGCAGTTAGGGATCCCTTCATAAATAAAACAAAACAAACAAGCAGTTAGGGATCCCTTCATAAACAAAACAAAACAAATAAGTAGTAAGGGATCCCTTCATAAATATAACAAAACAAGCAAGCAGTTAGGGATCCCTTCATAAATAAAACACAACACACAAAACAGTTAAGGATCCCTTCATAGCCAGTATACCCTTTACTCTCTTACAAGGATAAACTCTTTTGGTAAGTTTTCCACAAATGGGGGATTCCACTAGCAGAATTTAACAAAAAGGGTTTTTTCTCATTGTTAAAGGCTGTACGGTTGCCTATAATTGCTTACATCCACTTCATTTGAACTTTGGTGGATAGTTGTCTCATTGGCAATCATACCACATCTGCTTATTTTTATAAACTTTCTCTGGGCAATTTATGTCTTCCACAAATGACAATCAAAGTAATAATAGGATGGAAGAGTGCATATATCTCTATATAACATGTATAATGTACTGCAGGATCCATTTTAATTAAATTTCATTAAACTTTGATGAGCCGAATTACCTCTGATGAAATATCATTAACTGGAAACAAGTCGAGTTATTTATGGTCTGGCTGATAACCCATTTTTCAATGAAATCGTAAAAATTTGTCCATTAGTATTCTAAAACTGTTTGCCTCATCAGTATTCCTGGAGATATCATGTAGGTTTATATCCAAATGATCATTTTTTCCATGGCAACTATTTATGTTTGTACTTTAGCATATAGAAGATGTATTTCCAAATATATTCAATTTTTATTCCTTGTAGAATTTATTAGAAAGAAAAAAATATATGTAATTTTGATGTAATGAGATTGGGTCTTGTATTTTATTAGAAATAACTTTAAGTACACAATTTTATATCTGTAAATGTCATAGGATTAATTTTGACTATGAGTGACAGTAGGGCATTTAAATGATGTTTCTGATATTTACAAACATCAAACCAACAACGATATCAAGAGGTCAAAACATGGTCTTCCATAATTGACAGATGTCAAGTCAAGAGGTCAAAACATGGTCTTCAACAATTGACAGATGTCAAGTCAAGAGGTCAAAACATGGTCTTCAACAGTTGACAGATGTCAAGTCAAGAGGTCAAAACATGGTCTTCAACAATTGACAGATGTCAAGTCAAGAGGTCAAAACATGGTCTTCAACAATTGACAGATGTCTAGTCAAGATGTCAATAAATTAAATACTGTAGATTCATTTATTTTCGTGGGTACCAATTTTCGTGGATTGAAGAATACTTGCATTTTCATGGATATTTGATTTCGTGGTTTTACCAAAGTCTGCATATAAGACTATAGGAAATTTGTTATTCATTGAACATTTAATTTCGTGGTTCACCTATAACAATGAAATCCACGAAAATTGGTATCCCACGAATAATGATGAATCCAAAGATTTGCCATCAATATTGATAAGTGTTTGTAGCAACAAATCTCAAAGTCCTTAAACATTCACTGATAAAGGTTGAAAGGGACATTGACACATTGTTAATGCAGACTTTTTGTAAAACTTTAAAATATTCTCCTGTAATGGAAGGATATCATAAGTATTTCTTTAATTTTCAATATAAAAAGGTCATAGGTAAAAAGTGTTTGAGGTCACTGTTTGAAAGATATTGTTGGGTCACTGTGAATATAATCTAATGTGTCAGCTGGTAGGAAGTCCTTCAATTAATCTAAAGATATTGAATATGTTTTGTATTCCTCAATGGCATTGGAACTTTTATTCAATTTTCTTTTATAATAATAAGAGAATAATAAAAATGTTGCTATCTGCATTAAGTTTGAGTGTGTATTTATCAGCATGACTTTATATTTCGAGATAATGTGACTTCTAAGTTTGTTACAATGCTTTAATCGATTAGGACGAAATTAAAATATATTAAGTGTTTGTTTCTATTATATTGTATTGATTTTCTTATGGTTTGAGACAGAATATTAAGAATGTCTTTTTTCGTCTCAACTTTTAAAGAAATTATGGAACTTCCAAAGTGGAGATATTCTAAGTGAAAAGAACATGTTTTCCGATACTTTTCATTTTCAGGTGTCAGTTTTGTTGACAAGAGAATTAAGAAAGGTTGGTCTTGGAAAATGTTCAAATTTCTGTTGCTATGTGAATTAAAATTGGCTATTAACATTGTCAAAAATATGTCATAATTCTAAGCCAGATAAAAAACTTAAACAGATTGAATGATTTGATTTCCGATTATTTTCTGTTAGTGCACAAAGAGCAATATCTTCAGTTTTGTGTTCAAATGTTACTAGAAAATAACCAGATTATTTTACATAGTTATGTACATTTGTAAGGCATATGATCCATGCAGACCTGCTAATAGTTATGTACATTTGTAAGGCATATGATCCATGCAGACCTGCTAATAGTTATGTACATTTGTAAGGCATATGATCCATGCAGACCTGCTAACTGTCACAAATTATTGGGGATTTCCCCCATGAGAAGTATTGAACTGAATTTTGAAATTCTTTATTACATAAACTGAACACCTCAAAACAGGCATTCAAATGAGTTAAAGCAGGTGTTTAAGCACATATATACTCATTCAAAATATCAGTTTAATTGAGGTCTGGAGCTGGCATGTCAGTAACTGCTAGTAGTCTGTTGTTATTATGTATTATTGTCATTTTGTTTATTTTCTTTTGTTTCCTATTCTGACATCGGACTCAGACTTCTCTTATACTGAGTTTTACTGTACGTACTGTTGTGCGTTTGTTTTTTCTACATTGGCTAGAGGTATAGGGGGGGGGGGGGGTTGAGATCTCAAAAAACATGTTTAACCCCGCCGCATTTTTGCGCCTGTCCCAAGTCAAAAGCCTCTGGCCTTTGTTAGTCTTGTATCATTTTTAATTTTAGTTTCCTGTGTATAATTTGGAGTTTAGTATGACGTCCATTATCACTGAACTAGTATACATATTTGTTTAGGGGCCAGTTGAGGGACGCCTTCGGGTGTGGGAGTTTCTCGCTGCATTGAAGTCCCATTGGTGGCCTTCAGCTGTTGTCTGCTCTATGGTCGGGCTGTTGTCTCTTTGACACATTCCCCATTTCCATTCTCAATTTCATTTTAATTTTATAAAGTATTGATTTAAAACACTTACAATGTATGACAATAAAAAAAGAAGCATTAGGTCCTCTTGCCCATAAAATCCCCCATGGAGATTTTGAAAAGTTGACAGGTATGTCCTTGTGAAAATGTTAAGTACATGTAAAATATTCACAGTATAGTGACATCAATCTGCTAAAACTTGTAGTTAGGTATGAGGTTTTACTCTGTGTAGTTAGGTATGAGGTTTTACTCTGTGTTGTTAGGTATGAGGTTTTACTCTGTGTTGTTAGGTATGAGGTTTTACTCTGTGTAGTTAGCTATGAGGTATATTACTCTGTGTTGTTAGGTTTGAGGTTTTACTCTGTGTTGTTAGGTATGGGGTTTTACTCTTTAATGTTAGGTATGAGGTTTTACTCTGTTTTGTTAGGTATGAGGTTTTACTCTGTGTTGTTAGGTATAAGGTATTACTCTGTGTTGTTAGGTATGAGGTTTTACTCTGTGTTGTTAGGTATAAGGTATTACTCTGTGTTGTTAGGTATGAGGTATTACTCTGTGTTGTTATAGGTATGAGGTTTTACTCTGTGTTGTTAGGTATGAGGTTTTACTGTGTTGTTAGGTATGAGGTATATTACTCTGTGTTAGGTATGAGGTATTACTCTGTGTTGTTAGGTATGAGGTTTTACTCTGTGTTGTTAGGTATGAGGTTTTACTGTGTTGTTAGGTATGAGGTATATTACTCTGTGTTGTTAGGTATGAGGTTTTACTCTGTGTTGTTAGGTATGAGGTTTTACTCTGTGTTGTTAGGTATTATGTTTTACTCTGTGTTGTTAAGTATGAGGTTTTACTCTGTGTTGTTAGGTATGAGGTTTTACTGTGTGTTTGGTATGAGGTTTTACTCAGTGTTGTTAGGTATGAGGTTTTACTCTGTGTCGTTAGGTATGAGGTTTTACTCTGTTGTTAGGTATGAGGTATATTACTCTGTGTTGTTAGGTATGAGGTATATTACTCTGTGTTGTTAGGTGTGAGGTTTTACTCTGTGTTGTTAGGTATGAAGTTTTGCTCTGTGTTGTTAGGTATGAGGTTTTACTGTGTTGTTAGGTATGAGGTATATTACTCTGTGTTGTTAGGTATGAGGTATATTACTCTGTGTTGTTAGGTATGAGGTTTTACTCTGTGTTGTTAGGTATGAGGTTTTACTCTGTGTTGTTTGGTATAAGGTATTACTCTGTGTTGTTAGGTATGAGGTTTTACTCTTTGTTGTTAGGTATAAGGTATTACTTTGTGTTGTTAGGTATGAGGTATTACTCTGTGTTGTTAGGTTTGAGGTTTTACTCTGTGTTGTTATAGGTATGAGGTTTTACTCTGTGTTGTTAGGTATGATGTTTTACTGTGTTGTTAGGTATGAGGTATATTACTCTGTGTTGTTAGGTATGAGGTTTTACTCTGTGTTGTTAGGTATGAGGTATTACTCTGTGTTGTAATGTATGAGGTTTTACTCTTTGTTGTTAGGTATGAGGTTTTACTCTTTGTTGTTAGGTATAAGGTATTACTCTGTGTTGTTAGGTATAAGGTATTACTCTGTGTTGTTAGGTATGAGGTTTAACTCTTTGTTGTTAGGTATGAGGTTTTACTCTGTGTTGTTAGGTATGAGGTATTACTCTGTGTTGTAATGTATGAGGTTTTACTCTTTGTTGTTATGTACGAGGTTTTACTCTTTGTTGTTAGGTTTGAGGTTTTACTCTGTGTTGTTAGGTATAAGGTATTACTCTGTGTTGTTAGGTATGAGGTTTTACTCTTTGTTGTTAGGTATGAGGTTTTACTCTGTGTTGTTAGGTATGAGGTATTACTCTGTGTTGTTAGGTATAAGGTATTACTCTGTGTTGTTATGTATGAGGTTTTACTCTTTGTTGTTAGGTATGAGGTTTTACTCTTTGTTGTTAGGTATGAGGTTTTACTCTGTGTTGTTAGGTATAAGGTATTACTCTGTGTTGTAATGTATGAGGTTTTACTCTGTGTTGTTAGGTTTGAGGTTGAAACTTACAGTTACTTAAGATGAAGAGCAGCAGTAGAAATGCAGTTCCTTTGCTTTGTTGCTGTTTTTAAGCAATTTTGTTCACAGCATAGCCGACAATGTGTGCTGACTTTGCTTTTGCTGCCATCAATCAATCAGTCCTTTGGTTTGGGTGTGTCAACTTGCTTTTGGTTTGTCAAGTGGGTCAATTTATTTTGAGTTATGAATTGCCCTAATAATTTTTTTTTCTTATCATGTTATGACTTCTCATAGTTGAGGAAGGTAGAAGGGCCAACTAACCTTGTGATGAGTTATAAAAGTTATCATTGGTACGGAACATCCATTTTTGCCTCAAGTGTGGAGGTTATTGGTTAAATGGCTAGCTGGTTCCAATTGATATTCTTTCCTTTGTACTCAACATATAGGAGTAAAAGCAGTATTGAAGAGGTTCTAATCAAAATAATATGTTCTGAACCTCTAATTGGTGACAGGTTCTTTCGTATTCATTGACTTGCACCTTATGATGGACTCATTGTAATAATCTAAACCATGCCTTGTACTGATACCTGGGAAATTTTTGTTAGGTAATAAAATAAATAAGAAAATAAAATTTAGTGAATAGGTTTAACCCATGAATCACAAAAGCTAATTAAGAATTCTTTATGTCACCACTCAATTACATTTAATGATGTTTGATTAAAATATCTTCAGTTTCATCTGATATTGTTTTAATGTTTGTAAAAATTCCTGTCTGGGACAATGTCCTACTGAATACAATAGTCTAACCAGACTTAATCTCCTATCAATCTCTATAAAAGAGTTGTAGTGACTTCATTGTGATTAGATATTGATCTTGGTCCCTGAAACACTTGGATTGTTGCAATCATAATTCTTATGAATGTTGCCATTCATATATTCCCTCATTAATTGAGAGTAATGGATAGCTAATGTATAATTTATTTAAAATTCACATTAAGATGAATAATTTAAACAATTCAAAGCTGAAAACTACCAGATTAATACGAACAAAAATGATTAGCTAAGGAATGATGGGGTATGTAAATGTAGGACTCGGAGATGGGATAGCGACACTGAAGTGCGATGGTCATGCTGAAGTGTGATGGTCCACGCTGAAGTGTGATGTTACTTTCGCTGATGTGCAATGGTCTATAAGACCTGTGATGGCACGTTAAAAATCTACAGATGTCAAATTATTATGAGAGTTCGATTTTTTTATTAGTTATTATATAAATACCAAACAATATATTCTCCAGTTGCAGATAACCATCTCACTCCTTGTTCTCATTTACAGCAGCCATATAATTTTTTTGGATATTTTTTTTTCGGTTTTGACTATAACCCAAGTAGTACATGCGTTTCAAACAACTACCTCGTTTTTCAGTCATTGCAATTAGTACTGGTTTTAAAGGAAAATAATCTTTGTATGTAGCGTCTACAGTGGTCAGTATCTGAACAATTGTATGAACTATTGCTTTTTTGGCTGAAGCTATTTACAAATTACACTACAATGCTACAGATGGGACAGGAAGCGCATTGACTATTTATCATAGTTTATGTAATCCATGGCACTTCAGCATTACCACAATCGCACTTCTGTGTAGCTATCAAGAAGATAGCGTCACAATCCCACCATCGCACTTCAGCGTCAAACCATTGCATTTCAGTGTGACCATCGTGGATTGGAGTACCATCACAGTTCAGTGTGACCATCGTGGATTGGAGTACCATCACAGTTCAGTGTGACCATCGTGGATTGGAGTACCATCACAGTTCAGTGTGACCATCGTGGACTGGAGTACCATCACACTTCAGTGTGACCATCGTGGATTGGAGTACCATCACAGTTCAGTGTGACCATCGTGGATTGGAGTACCATCACACTTCAGTGTGACCATCGTGGATTGGAGTACCATCACAGTTCAGTGTGACCATCGTGGATTGGAGTACCATCACAGTTCAGTGTGACCATCGTGGATTGGAGTACCATCACAGTTCAGTGTGACCATCGTGGATTGGAGTACCATCGTGGATTGGAGTACCATCACACTTCAGTGTGACCATCGTGGATTGGAGTATCATCACAGTTCAGAGTCCTACATAAATAAATGAAAACATTTCATATTATTGTAAGCAGTATATGACTTAATTATGCGAATTAAAATCATAGATTTTGGATCTGCTTTTTTTTTTAGATAAATTGATATCAGCTGAATTGATTTGAATGAATACAGTTCTATGTATTTTTAGTCCCCTACCGACAAAGTCGAAGGGGACTTTAGGTTTGCACTCCGTCCGTCTGTCTGTCTGTCCTTCTGTCAGTCCGGCAAATCAGCTTTCCACACTTTTTTTCTTCGTTCTTGAAGATATTGATTTGATATTTGGTATATAGTTTTATCATGAAAAAAAGTTATAGATCAAATTCAAATTTTGTTCCAGTCTGATATTTTAATCCAGAGTTATGGACCATAACTCTGGACCATATCTAATGTTAGAGTACTATGTTAAACCATATTTCTGTACAAAGGGAGATAACTAATTTTTTTAAAGACATTCTTTGTTTAATTATTTGAAGAATTTTTTGGCAGGTTTGTTAGTTATTTAGTATAAATTAATTTTCTGAATGCTATATACATAAAAAAAAAATGTGAAGAGAAAACCTTTAATTAGATAATAATCTATTCTTATTATGTATATATTTCAATACATTACATTGTGTAGATAAAAGTTGTTGACATTTTATAGATAAGTTACAAATCTATATTAGTTTGTGACAAATGAAAGAAAAATATTTGGAACTATTAATTATATTTGATTATAATTTGAAAATAGATATACACTGTATTACATCATATCTAATTTTAGAGAACTATTAATCATATCTAATGTTTTTTTTCATCATGCTTATATGATATTGATTGATAATTGGTATATAGTTTTATCATGACAAGTTACAGATCAAGTTCAAATTTTTGTTTCGGTCTAATAATTTTGTGAAGAGTTATGGTCCTTGGACTTGAAAAATTCACTCATATAATCAGTTTTCCACACTGTTTTTAGTCATGCTTGAAGATATTGACATGATATTTACTTTTTGTTTACACCATGACAAAGTTATAGAACAAGTTAGCATTTTGTTCCAGTATAATGAATTTTTACCCAGTAGGGGACTATGTATTGCCATGCAATACTCTCAGAATGCTTGTTTTTAATGATAAAACAATTTCGATGCATATTCTAATTGTCTATATAGAATGCTGATGGCACTGGGATAAGTCCCAACTATAATTCTAACCATTTACAGTTTTATATGTTAACAAGAAAACATTACTCTTAATTCCAAACAAGTGCTGCTTAAGTCTCTGCAGTAATGGAAACGATGTATAAGGACAAAATAATACCTTATACTAATTCTAGAATCAATAATTTCTTATCAAGATTAGAAGTGCATTTATTTTTTTCATTGGCTAATCCTCTCCCAGGATTGTTTCAGAAGGTCATATTCATTATAAGGATGTGACATACGTTTTACATGGATGGCAAGCTGTCAATCTATTTTGTGTTTTATCCCTGTCCCAGCTTAACTTTTGCGTGATTTGAATTAAAGTGAAATATTTGTTGCTGATTTTATATTTTTTCTCATTGCTTGGCATTTGTCAGCGTTTGTTAACTATCACAAAAATCTTCTCTCTGAATTAGTTCAGGGACAAATTTAATCAAACATGGCCATTTCATCATTGGGGTATCTTATTTAAAAAAATGTGTCCAATGACCCTGTCTGCCAACTAACATGGCCAACATTGCTAAAAATAGAACACTGGGGTTAAATGCAAGATTTGTTTTTAGTCCCCATTCGACTCCTTGGTAGGGGACTAGTATGATGAAGTCAAAGAGGACTTTAGCTTTGCACCCGGTCTGTCTGTCTGTCTGTCTGTCCTGCAAATCAGTTTTCCACACTTTTTTCTTCATGCTTGAAGATATTGATTTGATATTTGGTGTATTCTTTTATCATGAAAATTTACAGATCAAGTTCGAATTTTGTTTGGGTCTGATGATTTTGTGCAGAGTTATGGTCCTTTGACTTAGAAAATTCACTAAAATAATCAGTTTTCCACACTTTTTTTTTGTCATTCTTGAAGATATTGATTTTATAATTGGTATAAAGTTTTATCATGACAAGTTACAGTTCAAGTTTGAATTTTGTTCTGGTCTGATGATTTTGTGGAGAGTTATGACCTTCCTAAAATGGACTTAGAAAATTCACTCAAATAATCAGTTTTCCACACTTTTTTGTCATGCTTGAAGATATTGATTTGAAAATTGGTATAAAGTTTTATCATGACAAGTTACAGTTCAAGTTTGAATTTTGTTCTGGTCTGATGATTTTGTGCAGAGTTATGACTGTCCTTGGACTTAGAAAATTCACTCAAATAATCAGTTTTCCACACTTTTTTGTCATGCTTGAAGATATTGATTTGAAAATTGGTATAAAGTTTTATCATGACAAGTTACAGATCAAGTTCAAATTTTGTTCCGGTCTGATGATTTTGTGCAGAGGTATGGTCCTTGGACTTAGAAAATTCACTAAAATAATCAGTTTTCCACACCTTTTTTTGTCATTCTTGAAGATATTGATTTGAAAATTGGTATAAAGTTTTATCATGACAAGTTACAGATCAAGTTCAAATT